ATGTTTGATTTTGGTTTTGGCAACACGGAAGTCAAACTCCTGCCAAAACCTCCTTACAGTTTCTGTGTTAAGCTGCTAAAAGCAGTAGCTGAACGTCGGTGTGGCTGTCGTGACAAAACTGTTTTCTTTGAACAAACAATTACATTTTAGGAATAATGTTTTTGTGGCTTCAGGGCCTGTTATTTAACACAGGCATGTGTGAAACCAGACTGAATTCAGACACATCTAGACAGACAGTAAGACGGACAAGAGTCAGACAAGTTTGTCACGTTTACGCAACCCACCCCTGTTTACAGGCCATCATTGCCACCATTATTGCTGCCATTGTTTTCAACACAAAGAGCAGTTTGCCGAAAAATCTAAGTAAGTGTTCATTGAACATCTATTACTAATTCTGTTCTTTTTTAACAGGATAGATTTGGCAGAAAAAGTTCTGTCCTTGTAAATGCTGTCCATGTCTGTCGTTGTTGACTCATTAGTAAATCAAATTAATATCATCATTAATATCATTATGCCAGGGCAGTTAAACTTAAATAGTCCAAAAGGTCAAGACCTTTTTTAATATTGAAAAAGAGAAAGAGGTTTGACCATCCAGAAAGCAGAAGAAGCTTGAAAATTGAGAAGATGTGCACTGACAAGCCAGAAAAAAAAACAAGGTTTTCAGAAACCCAATATTTCTACAACAGAACAAACCAGACAAATTTTAAGATGATAGGAGACAATCAGACAAAAGGACACACTCAAAGTAATTATCAGTAGTATTTTTTTTCCCACAAATATTCAATCTCATGTTATCCGGGAGCAGGAGCAGGCACAAACAGGCCGACCACACAAACATGTAAATTCACAATCCAGACGGCAGGATTAAGATGGAGAGAGAAGCAGATCTGATCCATCAATCCAACCTGTCGGTAAAATCCTCACGGCCTTATTTTTTGTTGTGTTACTGATCCAGTCTAGACTTCCAGGTTGTGCACACACACGCACACACACACTCACACCCTGGGTGCCTGGGTGTGAGGCACGGTGTGAGTGCCAGTTTGTACGTACAGTACGATAGCATCACTTTCTATGTGGAATATGTTGGTCAACCAGTGTGATGAACCTCAGTGAAGTTCAATCTCTGGTAGTTAACAAGTCTAGTTAATGGTGGTTAAGAACACAATTAAAATAATAATAATAATTACACCTGCTGTGTCCCCACCTGCAATAATGCCGTGCCCCCAAGGGGCCACGCCCCCAGCTTTGGGAACACTTGTGCATAGCTATGGGAGTTGTTAAATGTAATTACTTGTACAGTTTTAGTGCAGTGAAGTTGCCTTTTGTGACAATGTCATGCGAGGCTTATTAAATTATAAATAAAAAAAATGACCCGAGGCAGAATAATGTAGGATCTTCTGTGTTTACGGTTGTTTTGAAACATGAATAATCACGCAAGTGGCCCGACCACATTAAAGCAGCCTGCAGCTAAACGCAAAATGACGTTTGTCTCTTTGTACGTTACATTAATGTGATCACTGCAGACAGTCAATGTATAAACATATAATCCAATAAACGTCTTGTTTGTTGACTAAAGAAATAAATCCAGCACAAATCCAGGCCTGTTTGTTTAATTACTACTTCAGTCGGGCCGACGTATTTATAATAATATAAGTCCAGTCTCATACCATATTTATTTTTTCTCCCTCTGATGCTCAGTGAATGCACTTAGCATTTTGATGAATGTGACTAATAGGCAGCGAAAGTCTTGGAAATAAAGCTTAAGAGGTTTTTATGATGTCATCCATAAACAGTGCGCCTTGTTTTAAACTTGTTTTACGCAGACATTTCTGAAGCGCCATCTCAGTATTACACGGCATATAAATAGAAAAAATTCCTTCAAATTATGGAGGACTTTGTTCAACTCTCTTCTTCATTATAATGTGTGGAATGTTTTTATGTTAACTAAACTGTTTATAAAATTGTAATTAGGCTTTTACACCTTTATAGAAGGAAATTAAGTTTTAATGAAGATTATTACTATAACCTCACAACAAATGATAGAGTATTATTATACTTAATCAGTCATTACACATACATAGACATACAGAGCAGTACTGAAATTAGTTCATATATTAATGCTCCAGTGTGTGAATCCTAGGATGACAGCGACGTTTACTGTGTCTTTTCTTTCACTAACGTTAGACGGTTCATACACATTAACTAACCTGATAATTCGACACATTCACTACGATTGGATCTCTGTTTAGATATAATTGAAATATAATAATAAATAATAATTGAGATTGCGATCAACAACACCACATGGCAACAATAATTACCTACTAACCTACTAACACTCCAGTTTAAATGAAGGAATCAGCGCTGATTGATCTTTATCACTTGATTCATACATCGATACATTTCGTCATTGTCAATTTTTGTCTGACAAAACGTCGGACGTCAGCAGTTCATAGCCTGAGTCTTAGTGTTATTTGGAAATTGAACCATATAATGACGGCCTCACTGGACTGAACTCCTGCTTTAGGAGGAGCAGAACTCGCTCCATGGTCACAGTGAAACACAAAGAGCAGAATTCAGTCTGAAATGCCAGTGAAATTAACAGGCATAAACTCCCCTCTGACATTATCTGCCGGTTTTATGACGCAGCAGAAATAAGGCAGCATCTGTCCCGTCCTGTAGGCCCGGCCCACTTCGCATTCAGTCCAGGCGCTGTCTGAGGAAACAGATTATCGGCCACTATGACTTTGTCAGTCATGGCAGCCCATCATTTTTCATGGTGACAGGATGATGTTTTCTGAATGAGTAGTTTGCTCTGATGTATGGATCAATTATCTCCTGTCGTACAGCCGCCGCCGTGCCCCTCCGCCGGTTTGTGTTTTTTAAAGGACCTAAAAAAAAAAAAAAAAACAACCCACAGCATTTCTTGGTGAGGTTAATTATAACAGACGTGAAATGGTTGAGGTGTAAGAACAGATGATACTGAACAGGAGCTAAATCTGTACACAAAAAGGCAGAGGAGTATTTTTAGATCAGGAGGGAGAGAAAGAGGAGGAGGGTGTACAGAGACAGATGAAGAGAGAGGGAGGAAGAGAGAAAGAGAGAGAGAAACAGAGGGTAAATGTCATTTTATTTGTTTTTATTTAATTCAATGAAATGCTGCAAACCTTCACCTAGAAACTCAGCTCTCAACAACACGAGGCCAAAACAGAAAACAGAGAGCAGAGCTCAGGCCTTCTCTGACCCGTCAACAGGCCGGGTGATGTCACACAAACGCAGGAAGTGTGCAGATGTGTTCTTTATTCTGCTCGCTGACGGTTGCGTCAGTTTTCCTGCCGGGTTAATTAGAAAATAAAATAAAGTGGCGAGGATTAGAAAACCAGCTACGATCAATGGGTCGGAGAGAGAGAGAGAGAGAGAAAGATGGGAGACAGATGGGAGTGTAATGGACAGAGAAAGCTGGGAGCTGCGATCATCTGCTTCCCAGCAGCCACGGCCTGACACCTTTCCTAGAAAGGCTTTAAAGCCATTAAAATGTTCTCTGCAGACACAAATGGACTCTGACATGGTTTATTTATCCATTTGTTTTTTTTTTCCTCTTTGGTCGACTCAGCTTCCATGAATGGGTGAAAACAGACAAACGCCGTTGTTGTTATTATTTAAAGAAAAAATAATAAATGAACAACAACATGCAGTCCTTTAGAATGTCAGTGTTTTCTCCAATAGAATCCCTGCTTGGCCCCGCCCCTTAATATGACACTCTGACATAATGCAAAATACTTGCAAAGACTTGTCAGGGCCTTGTTTAAGAACCGTACTCCTTACAGACACTGCTGCCAATCAGATATCAGATAAGTGGGGGCGACAGTACTTTAAACCTGTGACAGGAACTAGTACAGCCTGAAGTACAAGACTAAAACCCAATCTGATATCAAAGATCTTGGCAGAAGCCGAGCATAATTATTAACAAACGTGCTGGTAGCATACAGAACCCAAGCCACTTCATTCACAGCATAAATAAACTAATCTTCTTCTTCTTATCAGCAGCTTCCTTTTAAAGCTCGTGAAACAAATTGCCAAATATGTATTGTTTAGTTTACGTTTTATTCAATAAAGTCCAATAAAACTTCATGGCTGACATGACATCATCTCGTTATGTTGCTGTGTTATAATTTAATGAGTTATCTCTCTGTATGAATTCCCAATTAATCTGGTAGGGTAGCTTTGGATAGTTCAGCGGGCCATATTTGGGCCACAGGCCACCAGTTGATAATCAACTTGTGTGTGCCAAAAGGAGACAAACTGCAGCTGTTGTGTGGTGTTTTTCTGACCATCATCTTTCAAATTAGCCTCAGCTGTTATACAGGAAACATGGAAGACTTTGTCAATAACGATCCTATTTAGAGAGAAACGGACAATAAAGCACTGACATCTACACTTTTGTTTTTGCTTAAGAGCTGAAATTATCTAAAAATATTTACTCATGTTGCCTAAATATATTAAAGGCATACATGATATATTGAGGTACTTTGATCCATTAGCCATTAGCAAAGAGAATGACTGATTTTCAAGAAAAGTGAAGCAAAGTCTCAGTGTTAGTTCCTCTGCTGTTGTCTGGATCAGTTATGAACAGAAACTCTGTTTCCTGACTGTTTCATTGGCTGCCTGGTCATCTAACATACAAGTCGACCATCCCAGTTGTAAATCTAACAATATCTTACCTTTGTTTTCCCATCGGAACGCTAAATGAGTCCCAGGTGCCACAATAGAAAAAGTCAGTGTCATGTCATTAACATCAGCAGATGTTTTTGTGCATTAATAAGAACAAGCTGTCATGTCGGGATCACTTCAGATCAGATACCTTCATCAGGACCGCGGGCGGCCTGCCTGCCTAACTGCCTGCCTGTTTGCCACTCCCTGGAACAGTTTCCATGCAATTTGATCTTGTCAGCATAATGAGTTCCTAATAATGACAACAACAGCTTATCCCCCGGTGACACCATCAAGGCCATTTTCTCCTTGTTTAACCTGAGAGAGAGAGAGATCATTGTGGATTTCACTCACGTCAGGGACGACTCCTGCTTCCGCTACATTGGTGTGTGTTTCTACTTTAAAAAATCAATACCCGGGAGAACATCTCATTCAGATCAGAGAGGAGCGATGACAGTCTGACTTACTGAGGAGGAATTGGACTAGTCTCGCTGTTCTGATCTGTTCCATCTCGCCCCCCTCCCCCAAATAAAAAACCCAAAAAACCAAGGGACTTTTGTTCCATGGCTGAGGTAAATAATCACCTTTAAAGATAGTTTCCCTGAGCTGCGAGGAGCTCACTCCCTCTGGCTTTGGCCACGTGCCTGGGATGACTGATTTGTTTGTGCGGCGGCACTGCTGTGATCTTTCATTTCAGGCTGCACCTCCACAGCTAACCCTGCTGCCACAGTTACAGATTTTGACCAACATATAGAATACTCCCATGTGTGTTTTCTTATAGTTCAGCAGACTGGAAATGTCTGGGTTCTCTTTGTCTCCGAAACACATCTACATCGTGATTTTTAAAAGAGAAAACCTTTTCTTCCAATGGCGGTTACACAAAGATAAGGACATGGATAAAAGAAAGATAAGGGAAGGTATGATTTTAACAGTTCATTTGAGAGATTTTAGGATAACGGCTGCGATAACGACTTACAGGAAATTATAAAACAGAAGTTAGAATCTACCTAGCAGTAACTTCTGCCAATTTTTAACATTAAAAAATAATGTTTTATGATTATAAAACTGGACTTAAAATGAAGATAGATTTAATATATATGAGAGTTTGAATTGTTAATCGATGCAGAATATATATTTAAAAAAGATTCTCTTACCCGTTTAGCAGTATACCAATGTTTTTATACTTGCTAAATGTCCTCTCTGTTTTAAACCTATAGCGTTAAAGACAAAAGAGCAGAGAGTTTTGATGCAGACTTGGACAAACAAAAAAAAAAAAACATATTGCTATCCAATGCCCTGACCCATTTAATACAGCAGTGTGACCCAATTTGGGATCACGACCCACCCCTTTTTTTTGTCTGAACTAAAGTGCTGCGGTCTCATGTTCTCACCCTGGCAAAGTGTTTGGGGTCCATCAGAAAGACGTTCCTCTCCTTGGCGATGCTGTTGCCGTGGTAGAACTCCACCAGTTCGTTCAGGGAGGAGAAGCGCTCGTCCCACACGTAGTACTGACCGCAGCGGTCCTGCAGCACCTTGAAATGCTGCACGTGATCCCCATAACTACAAGACAAACACAGAGAGACTGTGATACGATCTCATCCCAAACATACGACTAGAACCTCGGTTCTCCTGCCCAGGTGGACCAAACATCCCAGAATAAATGACGGTTTGGGGTCACATGACGGTGACATTAATAACGAAAGTCTGGGTCAGTCAACTGTCATCACAATAATTATATTTGAAGCCAAATACCTAAGAAATACTACATCAGCTAATGTCACACTTTATTATACCAACAAAACACAGAATGACAAACAAAAATAGTTCACAGGTTTGAACAAGCACTTGTTGGCGGTCACACCTGAACCCCCCCGTTCCTTCTCTCCGAGTTGGTTGCTAAGTAACTTCTTAGTTTATCTTTAGAAATCTGGACTTCCTGCCATGAGCCTGTTCTTACATAACTGCATCGCACGGGGCGGCAGAAGTCGATACGACTCCCCCGTATTTCTAAACTCATCACAGAGTAGGTGTGTTTTCAGAGGTGAAGTAAATGAGAGTGAAATTCTTAGTGTTTGTGTTAAAAAGGAAATGCAGCGCGGAAGACAATGTTAGAGAATTATCCATCGTCCTTTTTTTTTATTAACATTATCATTAATGACTTTAAAACAAATCACACTGATGCACTCTAACACTTTGATACTAGATATACTTGACATATTCTTACTCAGATTTGGGGTTAAACACGTTAATTTTGATGAATTAATCACAGACAAAATAACGGGGAAAAACAGCAAAACCCAAAAACTAAAATTTATATATATATAATCATAATTATTTTAATTTAATCTCCTCCTGCTCCTCCCTTTCATTTCTTTTCTGACTGGCGTCGTTCCCAAACCCGGCGAACGCAAATGAGCATCAGCTTGTTTCGCTGAGAATCTTTCCTCTCTATTCTGCTGCCGAGCTGCTGTGAAAAAAACAGGACTGACTCCCTGATGACAGGATGGCATTCAGCTACACCTCCACCCTGCCCTCCTTTATCTGCCTCCTCTCTTTCACCCTACGTGTCCTCATTTCTTCTCTCTCCCTCGCAGACTGTCAACAGAACTCAAACAAAAGAACACATTTAGTTCAAAGTAGTAGTTTTTTTTTTTGCCAACCATTTTTCCACTGGTTCTGAACCAGTTTTTGTCGTCTTTAAAGATGAAACCACCCACTGAAGGAGCAGAACTCGGATTTCTCTGTGTTATTTTTATTCGTTCAAACTTCTCCCTCCCTTTTGTCCAGCTGTCTTCTTATCCACTTCAGTGTTCCTCAATTCAGGTTTATCCCTGCACTGATACGCACACTCAACACTGTCAGTCGTGTAGCACCCTCTGCTGCACCCTCCTGGCAGGGCTGTGTAACTGTGATCCAGCTGTGCACCTGTGCGCTGTTTTGTCTCCGTGGGACAAAGCACGAGACAAAGTCTGCACCGGTCGACAAAAGACTTGACTGGTCAGGATTAATGTGGATGGAAGTGGTAAAAGGGAAGATGATGAGTGGAGATTAACGACAGGGCGGCGACGAGACGAGACGAGAACAAGGAGACTGACGGCCGTGATATAGAATCTGACTTGTTGAAGCTTCTGAGTAAAAGAATGGAGAAAAGAAAACATGACGTTGACATTGTTAACACAGATGTTTGGATGAACAAAAACAAACTCTCATATCTGGACATATATGTAGAACAGTGGTTCTCAATTATTTTCTGTCATGAAATGTTTTCACGCCTGATAACATGTACATTTTTACCTGTACAAACCACTGTATGTTTGCTGCCACCTAGTGACAGGAAGTGTGTTATCATTCATTGCAGCAGTGGTACACTTATGTCCAGGTGCCATATTTCATTGGAAGTCCCCCCCCC